CAGTGGGATTTGAACCCCAGACCTCTTGCATGGCGGTCTGGCAACCTAACCACTACACTAAGATCGCCAGACCTTTTTACCTCATTCATTTTTTATCAATAAGAAAACAAAAAATCAAATGGAAAAAATTAGTGAACAACCTAAGATAAACGATTTTGAAGTGTTGTCTATATTATATAATCAAACAGAATTTAAAAAAAATGATAAAGAATTTACAGATATTGACATGGATAATTTTGAGAATAATCTTAAAATATTAATTAATGAAGATAAAAAAATTTCTGATAATGAAAAAATAAAACTGATTAAGGAAATTTTAGAAAATTCAAAGAATGCTAAGCAAAAATCTGACAAATATTGGAAGATAAGTGTAAAGAATATAATTATAAACCCATTCTAGAATATTACAGGTTTTGTAAATGAGGTAATTTTGATGATAAAGGGTTATATAATCCTTGTTAGCATAAAATCGATTTTGTAGAAGTATAGTTTTGGCACTTAAATTTATGAGAATCTGGCAGGTATTAATTTTTTTATACTAAGATCATAAGTAACTTACTGTTCTAGTGTCTAGATTTGTCAGATTCAGTGGGTATGAATGTAGTTATATTTTCATACTAAGAGCTTATAAGAATCAGGATGGTATAAGTAACTTGTCAGGTTTAGTGAGTATGAAATAATTTATATTTACTATACTAAATATTTATTAATTTTAGAAAAACATTGTAGAAGTTGAATATCTTGAGCAATAGTTAAATAATTTGAAAGATAAGGCTGATAACAAAGAAAATGAACTTTGTAATTTGAAAATGTATAGTAAGTATTGCAAAAAATTAATTTTGTACTAATTGCATATATCAATATGTTATATGTTATTTTTCAATTCCTGTTATTTCAGAATTGACATATGTTATTTTTTAGTCTTCACTGATTGATAAATAACCTAAGTCAATTTATCTTTTTAATATTACTTTTACTTTAAAAAAAAAGTTTGCTAATAATATACATTATTTTTAAATTTGTAATGACTTATGTTAATTCTGAAATGACAAAATAATTTTTATTAATATTAAATTTCTATGATATAAGACTTTTTTGATCATAAATATTAATTAAACAAATTATCAAAACATGTTATACTATTTCAGAACTTGATAATATTTTAAGCTATATTTAAGACAAAGTCTAGTGATCTAGTGTAGTAAATAGGTTGTCAGATTACTATGCAATAGGTTTGGAGTTCAAATCCTTCTGTTCACAATTTGAATAATTTCTTAAACCTTGTACCTAACTTATAGTAAACTCTGTTTATTTCTGAGGGTTGTAATTCTGTAAATCACATTGCATCAATATTGTTCAGATATTGGAAGTATAACAGAATGTTAGAGTTATATTATACAAATAAATCAAGATAGAATCTATGAGCAGAGGACCTGCATAGTAGAAATTCTGAGTTAGATGAAGTAGTACAGATGTCAATAGTTATACTAGTTAATGCTTGATCTAGCAAAGATTTCTGAATATAAAAATATAGATTAAGTAGGTGTAAATAATTCTATGATATTAAGTGTTATAGCAATATTAACTTGGCTTGGCAGCTAACTAAATTGGAAGGATCTGCCTTGTAAAATATTTGTAAGAATACAGAAGACTAAACTATTAGAGAGTCACAGCTAAAACTGAGTTTGTACAAATATCAAATAAGAGTATATATAAGCTAGAATAGAAATATAATGTAGCATAGTTGGGTATAATAACATCTATCTATTAGGAGGGGTTGAAGTAGGACTTATTCAAGATAAGACCTAAGCTATAATAGTAAAGTTTGTAACTAATATCAGCTTAGGTGACTTCTAAAGTAGAGTAGTATAGGATTAAAGTAAACTATAAGAGTAATATTTGTGATAAGTAAGATAGGTCTAGAGAGTTTAAATAGAGAATCTTCTAAGAGATTTTAGATATAGCAACTAATATAAAACCTTCGAGTAGACTACTTAAAATAGACAACTGAAAATTGTATATATAGCTAGTTGTACTTTTACAATATGTTTTACTTCTGAAATTTATGAAATTAATAAAGTTAAACCAATAGTATTTATATAAAGTAAAAAAAAAAACTATATTCAAAATATTTTTTTTTTTTTATTATTAAGGCCACTTCTTTGGCCAATTAGATTTTATTATTTTGTTATTACAGAACTATCATTTGAATATTTTTCTAAAGTTTTACACTTACATAATGAGTATACAACAAGCTACATGTATAACTTTAGTCATTGTCTAATTTAAGTAGTTTGCTATACAGACAATTGACTATCTGTTAGTTCTACACTATGCTGCTATACCTGCAACCCACCTATGAGTTACCTATTTAAACACTCTGATTATTAACCCTTCTCTCTATCTCAAACTAATGCCACTACTATGACTGACCACTTAAGCTAGCTAGTTTACCTATAGATCCATTCTTTGCATAGTTTAGGTCCTCTCAAAATATGTATACCAAATGTATTATAAGCTGCAGAGCTCCAGTTAACTTCAGAAGTAAATCTACTAGAGTAGTCTGTACCTATTTTATGAATTCACCTAGCTTAGACCCTTATAGATATTCATACAACTCCAGTTTCTACTGTGGCTCTCTACCAGTTTTCTGTGTCTATTTTCTCAGATATTTTATGAAGCAGATCCTTCTAATCTAGTTAGCCACCAAGCCAGATTGGTGTTACTGATCCTCTCTATGGAATATATTTATGTATACCTAACTCAATCTGCATCTTTTGATGATAGTTTTCTTTTTGGATCAAGTATTAGCTGATATAACTGTTGAAAGCTGTACTACTTCACCAACTCAGAATTTCTACTATGCAGATCCCTTGCTCATAGATCCTATCAAGATTTATTCATATAACATTATATACTTCATCATACTTCCAATATTTGAATGATATTAGTGCAATGTAATTTACAAGGTTATAACCTCAGAAACGAACAGAGTTTACTGTAAGTTAGGTACAAGGGTTCAAGTAATTATTTAAATTTGTCGACAGTAGGATTTGAACTCCAGAACTCTTATATGGTAGTCTAGCAATCTAACTACTATACTAAGATTACCAGACCTCTATATTCAAAATATTACAGAAGAAAAAAAGCATAAAATTATAGAAAATAATACAAAGAAATACAAAATATACTGTATAGATAAATTTAGCCTAAATTAAACTCTAGTTCAGTTAAAATTTATAATTTGATTATAAACTTGAGTAGAATCCTAGAAAAAATAATAATTGTAATAAAATTATTAAAAATATTTTTAACAAAAACTTTGGAGCTCTAATAAAAAAATTTCTTGAATATATCTAATACCTAGATATAATATAAAAAGTACAGAAAATAATAATAAATAAAATTTAATTAGTAAATAATAATATATAATTAGTTTTCTATATAACTATTAGGAGATCCTTAATGCAGAATTTATAAGGAAACATAAACAGAAATCGATAACTCTTACTATAGATCATTTGTACCAAAACATCCAAAAAACATTTTGTCATAACTAAATATTTTATTAAGTAAACAACCTTTAGGCTACTAAGCAAAATTGTTCTACA